AAACAGGGAGCTTACTTGCCCACCAGCCTCTCTCTCTCTCTCTCTCTCTCTCTCTCTCTCTCTCTCTCTCTCTCTCTCTCTCTCACACACACACACACACACACACACACACACAGACACACGTAGCGAATATGACAGCACACACACACAGACACACAGACACACACAGAGTGGATTTCTCTGTTGAGGGAGGGAGTTATATTCCCCGGGCCTCCGGCGCCATGAACACTGATTCTCTTGGACCCTTTTCTTGTGGCCTTTCTTTTTGCCCGTTCTGGTTTTGTTGCTGGTGCTTGCAGATGGTACCTCCACAGGTAAAGCAGTTCAGCGACCTCTGCATCAAAGACAGATCGAAGGGCCCAACGACGCGCACAGAATCTCCAAGGATTGCCCAAGATCACTCCTATTGGGATGATGTATTCTAGGAACCCTAGAGAAAAGGAGAGGGCGAGGCCCAACAGGCACTGCGTTCATGCATCGGAAGTGTGACCCTGGGTCTAATAATAGCCAGGTTCATGCCCCTTTAGCACGTGGGAACCCCCCCCCCAAGGACTATTTCCCCGGACTAAAGGAGAGCGAAGAGTCAGGCACCACTGCTACGGTGTTCGTGCTTGGAAAGTATGAACCTGCCTTTAGTATGGTCAGGCTCCTGCTTTCTTTTTCTTTTTTTTTTTTTCTTTTTTTTTTCTTTTTTTTTGCCTCCTGCTTTCTCGGTACCATGAACGTAGCACCAGTGCCCTAAGAAGGAAAAGTTTATCCGCAACCATGTGAGCAAGACAGTGCCTATTGCCTTCCCCGAACAGAATGCACGCCCGTTATTATTCCTGTATCTGGACCGACTGTTGTGCCAAGCACGCGGGCAGGCTGGCCGCTATAATGACTGTGCGTCCACATAAGAGTGAAGAGGGTATTAGAAAGAAGAAAAAAAAAAAGGAGTGGTGAAAGAAAGGCGGCACCGGAACTTTCTGTGCCTCGCTCGACTGCGCAATCTTCTTATCGTATCTGGACACTTAAAATGTTCGGGCTGCACATGGACGCTTATAGTGTCCAGGACCATTCAGAATGTTGTGCACTGCACGGAGAGGGGCCTCTTGTGAAGTGAAGCACTTGGGAAAGTGAAGTTGACAACATGCAGACTGTCAGTGCATATACTTGAACTGAAGCTTTTCTGTACTGAATTTGGTCATGATTGCGGTCAGATGCATCGGGGTTGCTCTACTGCGGTGATAAACATTTGCCTCCCTCTGGACCCCCTCTCTCTCCCCACATCGCCAAATGCCCCAAATCAGCCATAAGACCTTTTTTTGTGTGTTCTTTCGGGATTCGGGGAATGGATTTGGTGAGATACTTTTGTGGTCATTGCCTTTCTTCGCCCCTCCACCCCCCCCCCCCCCCCCC